ACGCTTATTTTTACGAGTTCCATGATTTTAACAACATTTAACATGTAATTTACTCTGGATAATACACCCTATGTTCCCGGATAATACGCTCGTATTGTCAATGATGTTCATATAAAAATATATTGTACATACATATACATTGTATAAAATTTAAAGAAATACCTCACTAATAATAACGATAATCAATAATAACAAATAGTAACAAATGCTCTTGATCATGTTAATGAGCTAAGAAGATTAATTCCATCTTTTGACAACGCTGACGAAACTTTACATCATCTTAATAAAATTGAAAACTTCCTGTATTCAAAAAAACATCAAAACTTTAAAACAATGAAAGATAGACGTTTTTTTGAAATAGGTAATATAAATGTAATAATTCACTCTGCAAAGTAAAAAATATAATTTATATATATGTTACCGGAAAAGATGAAAATTCAGGAATTGTCAGTATATCCTAGTCATTGTTGACAATGACTGGAAAGGTTAGGCAATGTTGGATATTTCATAGTTTTATCAACATTTCCGTATTATATTAGGCAATGTTATAAATCCGCATTTAAACAAATATCAACACCGCTTTATCGGTGATCGATCTGATTATGGAACATTAAAGTCTTCATGAAATATATATTAATTTTAAATGACGAACATTTTTTTAAATTTCTTGTGGTGTTACGGACGGAGCCCTAGGCAAACCATTGCGGAGCACCAAAGGCTTCACGGAGCACAGTTTGGGTACCGCTGTACTAGATCATATAATTCCAAGTGTCATAGTAATTTACCACGTAACAATAAAGATTAAGATTATGATTTATCCTAAATAGCTAATAAGTATTAAAATATATTAAATTAATTTTTAATGTTATTATCAATGCCTTATTTTATTAGGAATTGTTATCAATGACTAGGCATTGACATTAATTCCTTACTAAATCAGGCATTATCATTATTGACTAGTCATTGTCAACACGGACTGATTGTCATATTTTCCGGTAACATATATGTAACATGGATGTATTGTGAAATACAATAAAATTTTTTGTTCCCGCTTAATACGATTTCCCGCTTAAGACGCTATTTGTAACTGGTCCCTTGGAGAGCATCTTAAACGGGTTCTACTGTATTAATATATAATATACTAGCTTCATTACCCGGTTTTGCACGGAACATTCTTGGCCGTGACATAGGTCTTAATGGATTATTACATTACACTATTTAAACCCAAGTTTAGTGTAACTGTTGGTGGTTATAAAATAAATAAAACGAAAGTTCAAATGAATCAGTATCGTAATTTTGGTAACACGCTGAATTTCCTCCAAATTACCATATTTTCTGGTTCCAATATTTTTTAAAATCCCTTCTTATTGTATGTATTAAATATTGAAATATTGAATATTTTAACCATGTCAAATTTTGAGTTCATATAGTTTTGAGATGTAGCGATGATCAATGAGGAGTAATACCTGACGTTGTCCGTTGAGAAAATTGTGAGTGTTGTTCAGTGGTCGAAATGGCTCAAGATAAGTAGAAGATGCCTTATAATTCAGATTTCCTGATATCATTATAACATTTTTCACACCTTGAGTACCTATAATATTTTTTTTTTTTTTATAGTTCACATAAAGTATATTATTTCAGTACTTGGTTCTAAATACGTGTATTATACGGGTTGCGAAACGGTTTATACTAAACAACACGATAAGCCAGGCGCCCGGGCCTGAATGTTAAAAACAATTATTTTCACCGAAAAAAAAAAATTTCATATATATATAAATATAAAAATGATAATGAGTATATCATTTTAAAATACAAGTCTTAGGAGGAATGCGTTATTCTAAACAAAACAAGTAAAGGGATGAAAACTGTAAATACAAAAAAGTAGAGGTATGCCATCCCTCCGTATCCTCCCCACTTTGAGCACTGTGAGTGTTCAACTCTTTTTGAGTGTTACCTTTGAATCTATACCTTTTTAATATAAATCACTCGAAATAACGGTTGAAATATTAATTTGTTATGTAAATAAGTAAATATTAAATATAGCCATGTCTATCACGCCTTGTTGTACTGTTTATTATATTTAAGCGTATACTAATATCCTTACAACAATGTTCAATATATTTTGGATTATTATTTTTTTATTTATTAATTTTATCGTGAAAATTCTGACAATTTGAGGTTTCAAATAAATGCTATTTATGAAAGTGTATTTGGATTATACAATATTTTTTGTTTTTCCTTTTGTGATGCGTAAACAAATAAATCAGATTTTCTGACGTGTGAACAGACCACACATAGTTATCTACGTAAGAAGCATGAATTGCAATGTCCACACACTTGTTTTAATTGTCCTTGTAATTTGTTAATGATCATGGCAAAAGCGAGTCACACTGGAAACTGCAAAAGTTTGAATTCCAATGGCTTATCTGTTGACGTCATTGGGATGCATGGTAATAGTACATGTTTACCTTTAAATTTTCCGTTTAAAATTATGGCTTCGATTATGTTGTTATACATTTTAATAATTTACATTATTCTTAATTGGTGATTATTAAAATCAACATATTAAACAAATCAAATATTTCCTAGGTAACCAAAAATTGAAAAATGTACGCATCCAGTCCAAAACTGTTTTGGCCCTTAAATATGCGATTTTCGAAAAAACCTTTTATTATTACATAGTGAAAGACTATTCCAAATTTCAAGTCCGTACGTTGCGTAGTTTTTGAGATACAGCGATCAGTGAGTGGAGAGTATTTAGATTATATCGTACCTCTCCTCCATGTGTGTATTTATGGGGCCGAATTGGGCAGGTGGAATACCGAGAGTTTCCCGGTGGACCGTTTGTACTTTGAAGTTTTTTTTTTAGTCTTATCTTAAGAAAAAAATCGAATTGAAAAAAAAATAAAAACACAATTTATGCATATATTAATTTTTAAATAAACACGAAGGACCTAATCTTAATGGTTTTGGGGGAGGGAGTCATGATCCCCCTTGGATCTGCGCTTGGTCGACAGATATAGACGCATTTTCTAATGCGATTGCATTAGAAAATGTCTAAAATTAAATAAACTGCCTTTTATTTTTTAATAATAATATTAAATGTTCAAGTTCCCAAAATAATATACAATCATTTTATATGGAAGTATACGGTATTTTTAGGGTTTTTTTATACCTTTGGTTAAGTGGGCCGTTTTTTTTTACTTTCCCGGTAGAAATGTCTGACCCAGTCCAGTTTTGTGTACCTTTTTTTTCGGTTTACTCTAGGCCATTTAAGCCCATTTCCGCTTCCACTATATCCCTCCATGTTTCTTTATGCTCTGCCAATTCTTTTCCATTCATAACTCCCAACATCCTGATATCATCCTTGACTCGGTCTTCCCTTCGTTGTTTAGCCTTCCTCTCGGTCGACTTTTGTTCGGTTTCCATTTCGTGATGGTAGATAAAAGTTGGTCTTGTGCTCTCCAGACGTGTCCAGCCCATCTTATTCTTTGGCTCTTGAGTATGGCAACTATGTTGGATTTGTTAAATAAAACATTTAGTTCTCTGTTTGATCTTATTTCATAGCTATCCTCCTCATTTCTCTTTGGACCAAACATTCTGCGCAAGATTTTTCTTTCGAAGATCATTAATTTGTTTTCGACAGATTTGGTAGATGCCCATTCTTTACAGGGGTACAGTACAATTGGTGTATCAAGGGTCTTATACAATCTTATTTTCGTTATTCTGGATAGTTTTTTTAGATTTAAATAATTGGACTAATGAGTAATAGCATTTGTTGCCAGCTGTGACTCCCCTGTGTATTTATTTTCTATCTGCCTGTGAGTTTATATCTGCTCCTAAATACTTAAAGTTCCAAACTCTTTCAATCTCCTAATACTTAGGAGCAGATATAAACTCTCAACCGCTTCCTCATTTAAAATGTCGATTATTCTCTTTAGGCTATACTCTGTCTATGCTATTACGATTGTGTATATTACCTACAATATTAAAATGAAGTATTATTACTAGAGTCTGGAATTATGTGTACTAAAAATGTACGAAATATGTATGCATTTATGCTCTGATTATTATTAAAATATGCAAACAAAAATGCATGTTCATTAAATTAATTTAGTTTAAAAATGTATAAAATTCATTAAATAATCAATATGGAACAAATGTATTAAACATGCAGTTGAAATAATTGAACTGTAATATGTATATTGTATTGAGCTATGAATATGTTGAATTTTGAAATATTTTGATGGTACATTGGGCAATAATTGTTAAGATTGTAATTTATTTTTTCGATTAATATCTCGGATGTGTTTATCGATTTTCAGATGTTGTGTGTCAGTAAAGAGCTTTGCACTGGTGATTTAATCTCACATACTTGACAAAATTATTTCCCTGTAGAATTAAAAATATTTTCTCCAAATTCTACAAAATATTTACGAACAGTCGATTGTACTTTTGACATTTTAATAAGGAGCAAAAACACAAACTATTGTGAAACACAACTAAAATATGGTTAGAATATAACATCTAGTCCCGACTGAATTATCTTTATTTGGAAGGGATTAGATGTTATTAGAAAACAAATCCATTACGAACCATGGATGAAACATGTGGGTAAAACAGGTGGGTATGAAACACTTAGGTATTCGACTGTAATGCGATATGAAAAACCGTAAAACACATAAATATCTGGTACACATATAAAAAAAGAAAACAAAATATGCAAAATTATGCACGATATATAACTTTGTATCCCGGAACAATTGACTGTAATCCAAACTCGTTGCTAATCCCAGCTACTTTTCGGACTGCTGAAAAGAAACGCACGCGTACGAATCCGGGTTCTAATTATCGGTACGCGTGTGTGCCGACGTGTCGGTGTATTTGTGGCAGGGCCGGGGAGTGCGGGGTGGAAAAAAGTGGGAGTGACCGATGGGAGTGTCTGCGAACGTTCGTTGGTAGGAGTCGCGGGTAGGTCGCGGCGCCGTGGTCGAGCAGCAGGTCGTCGTCGCGCGCACCAGTCGGTTCCTACACCCGCGTACCGGACGACGCGTACACCGTACGAGACACGCGAAACTCTCTGTGCCCGTCGGGTGGCAACCGCGTGCAACGTGACCCATCCCCCGGTAAGTTTCGTCAGGTCCTCGCGGCAGAGGTGCAACACTCGGTGCGACGATTTCCGCGCCCGGTTCGCACGAAACGCGAGTTCGTGTTCCGGTCAGTATTGTACGCGGTCGAAGTTGCGTCGGGAGCACGCGTTCCCCGAGCCCGTGCTAGGAGGAAACAGCGAACGGCGTCGACGAGGGTGGCCGCGTCGGACCGAGGTGCTGAGGGCGCGCGCGTAGCGTCTGAACTTCGGCCGTTACCGCGGTACCATGCGCCTGGTACGGATGACGTCGGACCACAGCAAGAAGAGGCGCCGGGGCCCGTCGTCCGATCACCACGGCGGCGGCGCGGTCATCGCTTCGTCGTCCGCGTCGTCCGCCTCGTCGCCTCCGTCCGAGGACCTCTGGTGGACCGAGACGGCCGTCAACGAGGTGACCGCCGAGCACCCGGGCGAGCTGGTCCGCACCGGGTGCCCTTACATGCTGTGCAGCGCCCTGCCCACGCACTGGCGGTCCAACAAGACGCTGCCCGGCGCGTTCAAGGTGGTCATACTGTCCGAGGTGCCGGACGGCACAGCAGTCACGCTCAAAGCCGGTAACGACGAGAACTGTTCGGCCGAGCTGCGCAACTGTTCCGCTCTGGTCAAGAACCAAATCGCCAAGTTCAACGATCTGAGATTCGTCGGACGCAGCGGACGAGGTAAAACCGTGCTCTATCCGTATATATTATGTACACGTGTTACGCCGGATTCGTGACATTTTTTTTTTGTCCCTTTCATAAATGTGAATTAGGCGGACTTTTTTCATAAATTTCACGAAATCTGCAGTCTTACAGTTGTTGAAATCAGTTATAGGTATATAATTCTACGTTACGGTGGATAACGATAGTTGATAAATGACGTCATTCCTAGATAATTATGTCTTTTACCGAAATGATTTAATTCCTTAGGTGAATATCGTAAAAGAACGCGTCTTTAACTATAATTTACATCTTTCACTGACCAATGACGTCATTTACTAACATTGTCAGTCGGTGATGAAACATCTCATATTTTCACATGGATATGTCTTATCATTAGGAATCATGATAAAATGTTATACCCACAGTAAACTCGACAGTTCTAAATTTAAATGACCGAGCTGAAAATTCGATTTACCGAGAATCCGTATTGTAATAATTACAATATTTAATTACAATTAATGTTGTTAAAATAAAATCGAATAAAAGTGCGTATTACAGATTAGATTTGGTATATATATATTAAATAGGTTCATATTTATTATTTATTCGTATTTGAAAGCTGGTATACAGACATTTTGGGCAACATTTTTTTTTCTCTTTTCAACTGCCGCGATAACGTTTTTTTATCATATGCTTATGTTTTACTAGACTCGTTTTCAGAAGTACTACGTTTTACTCGATTACAAATTACAAACAATACGACTACATTCGTTTACAGCAGTTTGGAAAATTGTAAAATAAATGTATGAACAGAAAACTACTATATGATACATCAAAAGATAATGTAACATCGTCGATGTTATTTTTTGACGTTTAATTTACATAATATAATTATGATTTTACTAAGTACACGTATAAAGTTGAATCACACTTCTAATCACATGTATTTGGGCTTATATCAAATTAATAAATTCGAATTCTAGAGGTTCTGGCCAAAAATATTTGAATTGGAAAGTTTTACATTTACTTAATTTCGAATTATCGAAGGGACCAAAATACCTCTATATGTTTCTTTGAATTATAGTGGTTCTTTCAATGTACCAAGAGTGTACATAAATTTTTAGAGATTTTTGAATTGTTGCAGTTTGAAAGTCTACCGTATATCTCAATTGTAACATATATTTTTAAATTATATTATAATTGTATGCAGTGGCGTAGCTAGGTATAAGTGCAGTCAAAATACTTGAGCCCCTCTCTAATATTATCTTTATAGGAAAATTCAAAATATACGCGTCATATTGTTCTTTCAAATGTGAATAGTTACTATGAAATGAGAAACGAAAATAATTAAGGGATATTTAATAATTATACAAAGTAAAAAGGAAATCTATAATGCATATTTTGTGAATTATTATTCTACTTAAATACTGGATCGTAACTAGAATTGATTTTGAATAAATAAGTGTCACGTACTATTTAAATTTAATATTTAATAATTATTATTTTTAATATTTCATAATTAATGTTCTCAATATTCTATATTTACACTCTTTTCCCCGATGATCATTAATAAAGAAATTATCAAATTATCAAACTACCATGTATAATTTAGGAATACATTTATCAATATTTCCAACTATTTTAAGGAAGTATAGACTCAGAATTATCCAAAGATTCCAAGGCCCTCTGTGCTCTGGGGTTGCGGGGCACTGCCCCGCTTTGCTATATGGTAGCTATGCCATCAATGGTATGACTATATTAAGAAACACTTTTAAACTATAATGCAACCCTATTTTGTATAGTACAGTGGTTCCCAACCGGTGTACCTCGAGCACCCTTGAAGTGTGCCACAATAAATCTATAAATTGTATTATAGTATGTATTTACTAAATTATTATCTATATTCGATGAAAAATGATCGAACTAATCATAGATACATATAATATTATTTCTGTGGTATGATGGCAGAAGCTGATATGTACATTTATTAAACTTTCGGAAAAACGAGTTTAAAGGTTTAGAATGAAATAAAAAAATCAGTTTGGTATGAAATGCATTTATTATTTTATAATTGTAATCAATAATCTTTCATGAATTAAAATATTAAGCTCTAATACATAAATTATTTTTCAAAAAAATGTTTAAGTAGAAAATAAAAACATTTATGATTTTTTGCCAACATTTATTTTTTTAAAATTTGCAACATAAAAAAAAATAAAAATTATGAAAGTAACCTTTTTTAAAACACAGTATTATAGCATGCAAAACAATTTTAGAATAAAACAAAAAAGTTCATTAAATAAATGTAAAACATAATATTGATCTTTTAACTCTTGGTCAATAAATAGAAAAAATTAAATTAGCCTTTTATAAAATTTAGCAATATAGAGTAGATAAGGGTAAGATGACGCACTTTTTTATAAAATGTGTTTAAATAATATAATATTATATTTTTTGGTACAAAAAAAAAGTTATTTTTGTATAGCAAATATTCATTTCATTTCATTTTTTCAATCAAAGCTTTAATATTTTGAATAGATTAGTTTTAAAACATAGAAAACTTAACATAAGTCATACGCGCAATCTTACCCCGACACTGGGGTAAGATTGCGCACATGGTGGGATAAAAGGGCGCAAGCAAAAGTCTTTATTTTAAATTAATCTTGTTAGGGAAAATAAATTCTTAAATATATATTTTACCAATTGTAATCACTATAATTTATTATAAATTTCTATTTTAATTATATTTGCTTATAAAATTAATAATAAGTAAAGACTTTTTAAGACATATTATATAGTTATATTTATATTAAAAATTATAACATGTTAAAACATAACAACACAAATAAAAACTATTGAACAATTTATTGAACTTTGTTTAATCATAGTATAACAAAAACAACAAAATAAACAAATTTAACAAGTAGATAGGCACTACAGTAGTAGATCTAACCAAATAAAAATGATCAATATTTCAGTTCATGCATTTTAAAACTAAATAAAATAAAATAAATAAGTAATAACTTACGTAGTTTCTAAAAATATACACAAGTATCTAGAATATTTAGATACTCTAATTGTAAATAATATGAATTTTATAATAACTATGTAGATACTAATACATGTAATTATAATTTCAAACATATAAATATGTAGGTGACAATTGTCAACAATGTTAACATCATTTGCTGAAATGCGCACATTTACCCCAAATCGAATACGTCATCTTACCCCAATATACTTTTCATTGTTGAAAAAATTGTATACAAATAAGCATTCGTGTTATCAGAACATAATACATGATAAATAATAGCCAATATAGTGTAGAAATTTAAAAAAAAAAAGATTACTATATAAATAACTTTTCCAGTGTGAATAACTAATTTTATTCTATCTAAATATTACATCAAAAAGTAAAAAATTAAAACTTATCTCATTTCGAGCTGTTGTTCAAGTTAATCTCGTTTTTTTTTTGTTACTGATAAACATAGCTGGTACATTGATAAACACTAAACAGTATGTCCATAATTAAAAATCTTAATAATTTATTGATAATAGTTTATCTTACCCCAGGTTACTGTAACAATTAATTAAAAATTTTAAATAAAATACAATGAAAGTAAAAAATAAAACAACTTATGGTTTTAATTAATAATGCATTATTATAATTTTAGCCTTCATCTGATGAAAAATTACTATCGATTGAAGGCATTTCAGCAGCATCTTTAGACGTTTTTAAGTTTTGATAGAAACTATGGCAGTCTTCATGTATCAGCGTCAATAAACTTAATAATTTTTTTTTTTTTTTTTGATGTTGATACGTAAAGGACTTTTATAACAATTGGTTAACGCTGTTGAATAATATAATGATGTTATATTTTTTGGCCTTCCTCTTTTACTACGTTATGTAAGGTTTAAAACTATAAATGATTCTTCTGGATTGAAGCTATTCTTAAACTGCAACTCACCATAAACTTTTTCATATCGAGTCCACCTTATATGAAACCAATTACTTTATTCTCATCAGTATCTACTGTTTTTTTAGTCAGTGAAGTGCTTACTAAATTTGAAAATTAAAAAAAAACTGTTCTTGTTTCATTTGAATTACTTTAAATGGTTCCTTTCCTTTTATCGTCCTAACAAATTGATACCAATCTCTTGGTATCATTAAAGGAATATCTGAACAATTTTTCACTCTTCCTATTTTCGCTGGTGATCTACATCACACTCCAAGTGAGTGTGGTCTGGCAGTAAATATTTTTGGTCAGTTATATGCAACGTTTTAAAATTTTATTGTAAGTATGCCTGTCGCAGCCGTCTCGTTCGATCGATTCTATTTTTATATTTCACAATAAATAACCCTCTATTAGAGTAAACTGTAAACGGTATACATATATATGTATAAAATATGGTTCACATAATATACGAATTGGTGTGCCGCAAATATTTTGTTGGTGGTGAAGTGTGCTGCATTGTTAAAAAAGTTGAAAACCACTGTTATAGTATTATGTTATATTATGTATTGTAATTCACATTATTATACCCAGTGGTCGAAATGGCTCAAGATAAGTTGAAGATGCCTTATAATTCAGATTTCCTGATATCATTATAACATTTTTCACACCTTGAGTACCTATAATATTTTTTTTTTTTTATAGTTCACATAAAGTATATTATCTTAGTCCGTGGCTCTAAATACGGGTATAATACGAGTTGCGAAACGGCTTATACTAAACAACACGATAAGCCGGGCGCCCGGGCCTAAATGTTAAAAACAATTATTTTCACCGAAAAAAAAATAATTTCTTATAGATAAATATAAAAATGATAGTAAGTATATAATTTTAAAATACAAGTCTTAGGAGGAATGCGTTATTCTAGACAAAACAAGTAGAGGGATGCCATCTAACCATTACATAATGTATCGTTATATTATAATATATAATATAATAAAAGTCCCATGGAATTTATTCCACATGGTACTTACCTATTTTTCTGCATGTAAGCAAATTCAATTG